TCCCTTTCGCTAGCCGCTTCCTGCAGGGGTGTACTTCCTGGGAAGTGTGTCTCGGAGACTAATGCTAGTTTCTGCAGATCAGTGCTCGTAAAGGAGTTATCCCCACGCTTCAGTGCTAAGTTCGCATCAGGCGCTCGTTTCGCCAGTACACTATGGAGCCTGGCGCCCTCGCTTGTGCTAACTATGCCTTCGCAGAAGTTTCTGTAATTCTTCCGTTTGGCCTTCCTTATCTCCTTATTATAGGAGGTCAGGCTCTCACGGTACTGCTCCCATATTCCGTCTCTCTTTGCCTTATTGAAGAGGCGACGTGTGGTCACGCGCAGACTTTCTAGGCTGTCGTTCCACCATGGGCCATCTTTCTCCATGTACTTTTTCCCTACCGGGCAGTTATCCTCAAATGCCTTGGATATGCATTTATTGAGGTCACCAATAGCCCTGTCAAGCTCTAGCGGCCTTCTGGGTATACCAGACAGCCCGTTGGCTAGGGAAAGTCCTAGGGTCGACTTGTACCCTTCCCAGTTGGTTTTTCTAGGGTTGCGACTTTGTGTGCTACTATCCGTATTTAATTTTAAGTTAAATAGGATAGTCCTATGATCAGACATGGATTCCTCTTGGGAAACATGCCAGTCCCTAAGGTGAGGCTTTAGGGATCGACTGATCAGGGTGATGTCTAGCACCTCTTCCCTGATCCTAGTGACAAATGTCGGTGCAGATCCGACATTACCTAGTTCTAGATTATGTTTAAAAATAAAATCACCCATATAGTATGGTGCGCATTGGCATCGCATCCGATGAGCACCGGCATCTTCTCTTTTCTGCAGTACTCCACCAGCTTCTCGATCTCTGGTGGCGGGCAGGGTGCATCCCCTGCGAAGTATGCGGATACGATAACCATAGAGACCGCGCTGCCCTTGGTGTAAACCAGTAAGGGAACGCAGTCTCTAGTCAGGAATTCTGAAAGGATAGTAAAGTTAATACTTTTCCTTACCATGATACAAGCTCTGGGTGCTGGATCTCTCCGATCCCAGATTACCTTTGAGTCGACTGTGAACAGGCCCTTGATGCCATCGTTCACCCACGGCTCCTGTACCAGGGCCAGCCCAAGGTGTTTGTTGGTAAACATCCTTGCTAAGACCGCCGAGGCTGCCTTAGCTCGGTGGATGTTTACCTGGGCTAGCCCTGTGTTGATGACATTTGACATCTACTTTTGGGAAGGCTCCAGCTGACACGGTGAATGGGGCCTGGAGCAGTCCCCGTCACCGCTGCTCGTCATAGTGACGTCAGCTTCAGCTGCATCCTGCAGCTCCTCCTCCAGCTCCTGCGAGGACATGGGGATATCGTCGTCATCCAGCATCTCCGCCTGGCAGAGCGTCGCATCTGCCAGTTCTTCGTCATCTGCGAGGTCCTCCGACGGGTCGGTGGGCTGCGCAGTCGGACTGCCCTGCTCCGGGGCAGGAGTGTCCGATGTGGTGGTGTTGCCCACCGAGACATCCTCTCTGCCCGTTGGAGCAAGTTGGGGCCTTTCTGCAGTCTTCTTTTTCTTCAGTCCGCTTACGGGGATGGTCCCATAACGGAAGAAGACCTGGTGCCCCTTCTCCACAATAACATTCTTGGATAGTTCATCTATCCCGATCACCAGGAGGGCTCCTCCACCCTCGTTCCTCCTGGAGATCACCTTCCAGGTGTCGGTCTCGATCCTGTTCTGGTTCCTCAGCAGAGCCAACAGGGATTCGGTAGACCGAGCTGCACTCCTGGGGCAGAACAGCGTGATGCAGTGGGGCGACGGAATGTCGTCCCCCACCTTGCACTCAAGGGGCACGCCCTTCCACGACTGTAGCCTCGAAGTTGCAATCCTTAGCCAATCGGCTGAGGTCTCATCGGAGCATTCAATTACCAGGAATCCAACCCGGAAGTGAATGCCCACGAATGAGACCGCGACATCTCCATCAGACGCAATGACTTCGTCAATGATGGCCTCTTCCAATACAGATAATTCTCCGTGACTGAGCACGACCCTTGGGAAGCCCACGGGCAACACAGCCACCTTTACCTTTTTTGCCATGTCTGCATAGGACAGGCGAGGCTCGGTGGGTGTCGGCGAGCTGGGCTTCGTGGCCGCTGCACGCGATGTGCTTGGGCGCAGGTCCAGATTACCTGCCCCATTGTTCTTCAGCACCTTTGCCGCTGCCGAGCCGCGGGCAGCGCCCACAACCCCCTGGCACATCCTCTTGGGGGTGGCCACCGGAGGTGTGAGACTGCTGCTCCGCCTTTTCGAGGCTGGCGCGGGTGCTGCAACCTCCTCCCTGGGCTCTTTGGCCTTTTTCAGGGCTTCATCGGGGTTGAGTCCCTGCTGGAGGTACCGGAGGTACCACTTGACCCTTGAACCGCAGAGATTTCTCCGGTTCGGGTCATCCAGCCCACCGGGTTGACCCCTTGGTGGCAGGAGCTCTCCCTTCCTCTTTGGGCGCTGAGCGCCTTGCCTCGCGCTGTTCGGTGTTGGGTGCGGTGGTCTGAGTGTACCAGCCATCGGTCTCCCATGCCTCACAGCCGAAGTTTCTCGTGCCCGTGGCACTCTCCTACTTGTTGCTGGAGCAGCACGGTGTGGAGGATTGTCTACCACACGCAAGGGTCGTTCTCCGTCAGGGATATGACCCTCTAATTGTCTTGCGACAAGTTCCGCAGGGAGATCCTGCGATATCTTTATGTGTTGTAACTTTTTCATGGAATCCCACGAGCTGCGGAGAAGTAAGTGTCCGCCCGGGCAGAGATCCGCAATACCCGGGTAAGGCTGAATTAGAACAGACGGTCGCCATTTGCCTGAGCTCACCGTTAAAGACTGGGCTAGTTTTGATCCGGGCCCCCAGCCAGGCTGACTCTCGGCACGGTTCGAATAACGCCTTAGTCCGGCCCGGAGTGAGATGAGGGGGTAGGATGTGGTAGGTAGTTTTGTGGGGAGATAGGGGGATGTGTGAGGCTATACTTTAGAAGGCGGCGACACAAGCGCCTTGTCGGTGCGATCGGCATAATCGCACCCGCTGTTTGTCCGGGACTGCTTATTTACGAAAAGTATCGTATTATTCGCAGCTAACCTCCCCGAGGGGAGGCCGTTCGCTATCCGCAACCCGCGACCCGCCTGGTGGCCTCAGCTCAGCCCCATCCGAACCATCCCACAAGTTCTCAGACCAGGTCTTCAACAATATACTCCCCTACCAATGAAATCATGTGCCGGGAAGTGAACGTTTTTGCCGCTTCGATCAGCAATGAAGATCACCGCCGTGGATGGCTTAAAAAAATGTTAAATTTGGTTTTCTTTCTTGCCAGTTCTCAATTTATAATTTTGTAATTATAAAGTGGCGGGACATGCCTTCTTGCTCCACGACCTCGAATAAAAAAAAGGAGGAACTAAGAAGCAGCAGCTGCTCTTCAGCAGAGCTGTTAACAATGGTGCTGCCGATAACAGACCCTACTGAATTCCTTACGATATATCGCACGGTGGCGGTATCGGCTAAACTTTGGGCGCGAGTTCCAAAATTCAAATTCAAAGATCGATAAGCTTCTCTTACCGGATTTTATTTTTGTACCGAGGCAAAGTATATGTATTATTTTATTGTAAATTTGTACGGCTCTATTCAAGCAAATTGAATTAAATAGACTATGGGGCCATTATACCACCAGATAATTCTGGCGACTATCAAGAGTCAGATAAGCTGGAATTATTTACAGTTTGGCTTGACTTGATCCCTTAATATCATAAATCTTCTCTGATTAAATTTACTGGCTCTTCTAATATGGACAACCTCTTTAGGAATTTATAATCCTCTCCATGAGTAATCATGCCCACACCGAATAGAGCCTTATACGGAGAGCATCCTAACGATTGGTGCAATGAAGAACGGAACTTTAGTAAAAAATCTGTGATCGGCGTAGTATTAAATTTTTTAAGTGGACATAACCAATGATACCGACTAAAATGATCAAGGACTATAAACAGGCCAGGCAATATGACCCTTCTTACTCCTAGGGTAGGGACCAAGTATGTCTATGTACAGCTTCTGAAAAAGCCGACATGACACTCTTTGCTCTCCTCTTGGAGAACGAAGAATCGAATTAGGAGTCTTAGACTCCTTACACTTGTCACATTCTCTGATAAAATTTCGAACACCTCTACTGGCCTAAAGAAATTTCTATGCAACCGTTCAATTGTCTTCTGCATTCCTCCGTGTGCCGGCAAGACATTATCATAGTTAAATCAAATACCAATTTTTTTTAAAATTGATTAATTTTAAAATATTTTTTTTTCATTCGCTGTCCAAACCAAATGAGGGGTATTCTCTATTATCAGAATATTAAATTCAAATTTATTTCACTATTTAATTTTAATAACAATTAAATAATTGTTTAATAAATACAAAACTCACAAAAACTTTATAATTTTGGTAAACAATTTTTGGTACAATTGTACTACATCTAGCAACTCTGCTTCTAACCACACAATATAAATATGAGATATATTAACAATTGTAATTTTTAAGTTTACGTGCTTTACAAAAATATAATTAAGTTTTTTATATATATTTTTTTAATGTTACTAAGCAGTTAACGAGATCTATGACAACCTTACTCGTATAATCAAATGTACACACAATTTTTTTCTCAATGTACTTTGAGAATACTGCGTTAAGAATCTGTTAAGTAGAAGGCAACTTAACGACTGAGATTATTTTCCCTCTCTCTAGCAGCAGCAGTAGCTGTGCTTATACTGGTGTACGTGTGTGTATGCTCGTATGTATAAGTGTTACACACATTTCGCTCGTCTCACAGAACGCAAATTGCCGCCGGAGTTGGAGAGCTGTCAGACAATATTTGTTATCAGTATCTGTCCAACTTCGGAAGCGGTGGGTCGTGTGCGGCTGCGTTAGCTCGCAATAAACAAAACATTTCATAAAATACAAGTTGTTTATTAATTTAATATTTATTTCAGTAAACCTAAAAACCAAAGGAAAATGTGTAGAACTAAGAAAACTCACGTAATGTGCTGGTAAGTTTAATTTACTCATAAACCACTTGGGTGACCTTTGCGTGTGTGTGTGTGGATATCCAAGTGCATATAAATATATACTGTATGTCAATAAAGTGTTTGGATACAGGAAATAATTCATATTTTCTAACTTCTTTGCGAAAAATGGGATTTTAATGTTGACTTTTATTGATTTTCTTATTTTTCTACTATTAAGTGAACTTCTTGAGACTCTCTAACAAAAAAATTAACAAGATTCATTAATTAATAAATAGTTGTGAAGTTTTAAAAACCAGAATTATACATTCCTTGGACTGTCAATAAAGTGTTTGGACAACGTCCGTTTTTACGTTTAAATATTTACTTATTTTGAATTCATAAGTTAGACTGATTCTCTTACAATAAAATTCTCATACATTCATTTCAGCTGCTTCAAGTGCGCAATCAAAATTCTCATTTCGATGTTTACTGGGTGCTTTTTGGTCCTTGTCGTTGCTGGATTAATACTCTTCTTGGTTTACGACTACGACTACGAAAGGGAGGACGATGCCACCATGCTCCATAATGATGTTCAAGATGGAATGAAAAACACATTAGAAAATTTTAAAAATAAATTAAGACCATAATCTATAAGGTATGTTACATAATAATGATTTATTTCATTTAATCAAACATATAATTCAATACTTTATTTTTTTCCAGTACCATCTTTCAATAGCAGTCTTGTTTAAGCTTGCTTGTTCCTGGTACATTCATACCACGCTATGCTACTGCTATTTGTATGACATTTTGTTATAATGTCCATTTTTAATTAAGGCACGTTTTCGATTTACGGCCTAAAATGTTTCCCGATAACAGAAAAAAAAACTTTTTTTCGATGTTGATATATCTATGATGAAGAGTCAGAGTCTGTTGTATCCAAACAGCTAACATCAAAAACTTTTTCGAAAGTTTTTCCTATTTCGAACAAGGAATAAACGGAGCGCTAAAGTTTATCGAGCAATTAACTCAGGTATTAGTTGTTATAAATAGAAATAGACAAGAAAACAAGACAAGCTTTACGTTGCACAATTTTTTAAGCCCATCCTTACCGGCGAAAAATGATGACAATGATCTGCAGGTTATCATTTCTTCATTTTGTTCGGATTAAAGCCATTTAATAACAAAAAAGTAGTTTAATTTTTGTTTATAGATTATTGTTGTTTCTTGGAGTCTGTCATTATTTGATGTACAAATGTATGTATTTGCCATGTATGTATTTTTTAACAAATTCGAACCGATTCCATGGAATTTGTATGAGTTATTTATTGTTTTAGAATAAATGATTCCTTATATGGCCTTTCGCTTTGCGGCCAAGTTTCGTGGAACGTATCTAGGCCGTAAAGCGAGAAATGGGTGTATGTCATTTTTTAAATTAACCATAATTTATGTATATATATATGTAAAGATTTTTAAAACACAAGAGCTGCTGTACAAAAGTAAACGAATAATGGAAAGTTGTTGCATTTCTATTATTCTTTATAAATATTTTGAAGTACATGAAATTTTCTTTTGAATCTCAAAAAATGAAATTGTTTGAATTCATATACAATAAAAAATAACGTGTTAATTAAAGCATAGCTAAAAAATAAAGTATACTTTCTTATAATATTTGTATGATCATGATGTATTGATATATAATTAATGGTGTGATGCGTATAGTAAGTATTTGTACAGGATGTGCTGTATAGTTATATCAGCTTATACATTTTTTTTTTTATTTTTATGTCTGGCTGGATAATGTGGAATTTATGTGATTTGTTTTTATGTAACAAAAACTTCAAGTATGTACATTTGTATGTCTGATTTCTTACTGTTGCCTCTAGTAGCCTATTCACATAAAAACTATGATGAACAATCAAATCTATTCAAATCTTTTAACACTTTCTGCTTGAGTACTAAAGTGCTCCAACTAAGCATAGTTATCAATTGACCTTTGATTGAAAAAATAACTGTCAAAAACTTTCTCTTGCATCCGATATTAAACGACTATACTATAGTTAGATTGGCTTATTTTTCAAATTTATTTCATTAAATATATAATTCATGAAATTCATTTTGAGATTGTTGTTTTTGCTCATATGTTCCCCATATTTGTCTCTGGACGGACTTGCCAACAGAGGTATTCAACGTCAGGGATTTGCCGATGACTTTGTTATCATAACACGAGGTGAATTTTTGCTACTGTCGTAGCATAGCCGGGAAGTCATGGGGTACATCACCAAGTATGATGAGATGGCTATACCTAATGGTAGCAAGGGCCATACTGACTACGGAATGATAGCATGGGTACTAATCGGTCTATTGAAAGGACAGTGAAGACTAAGAAGTCACCTAACTAAACTAGGTATTTGTAGCAACTGTGCAGGTTTTGAGTAACCGAGGAAAAATCCTCAATGCACATTTTATCGGAGTGTGTTGCCTTAACTAGGAAAAATTGCAGCATACTGGGGATGCATGTTTTGACCATTTTGTAAGCCCTCAACCAAACAAAGAGCCTAAAATTTGTGCAGGACCTGGGTTAATTGAGGAGCTATAGGCTCAGAAGGGGGCACAATAGATCTTGTAGGTCGCAGTGCACGTACCCCAATTAAAATAATAATTATTCCATATAGATAAAAAGATTACAAACAATCGTTCACAAAATTGCCATTGACCCAGTGTGAACTGTCACCCTATTTTCTACTTAAATACATATATATATATACTCCAAGATATGTATGATGTTTGTTAGGATGAGGACTAAAATACGTATTTATCTGGCTCCAGCAAGTCTCGGCTCCAGTAGGACGAGGCAATATATAGAATACATAACTATGCTATTTTTCTCCACCCTCGTCAAACAATTCACCAAAAAAATTCTTCAGATTGCCGACAGCTGGGCGCCTATTCAATGTTTGTAAGCATAAACATCCAGTGAATACACTCAGAAAAAAAGTCTCCCTGAATTTAAGAAATCACCATTCTCACCGTATTATTTAGAAAGTATATTTCTAAAATGGTAGATTGTGCCTTAATAAAAATCAGTGTATTTTTTTTTCTCAATTCATAGGTTTTTCTAAAATTTAAATAAAATGTTCCTTTTGATTGACTTTGTTATTGTTTTATATGTGTATTTATATGTGTAATTGTAATTGTTTCATCAGTAATAGCTTTTTTTATTACTTATATGTATTTATTTAGTAACATTACTTTGCCATTATAGAAACATTTAAAATAGTTTTATAAATTCACTTAATTTGATTTAAAAAATCTCGTGATTTTACATGGATTCGATCCCGAAATTTGTTTTAGAAATTTAGCAATTTCTTGTAAAACGAGAAGTTTTTTTTACAGTTTTCGCCCGCTGACACTCACTTTCAACTGTTATAATGCCCCCTATAATTTTGTTTAAGTTTATTATGAAATTTTGATGTGAGTAGTTTACTCTGGCAAGAATATGCCATCTTAGGCGGATAAAATATCTCTTCTTTGTTGATTTTTGTAATATTTCCGTGGCTGTTCAATTGGTCTTCTCTTTTGTTTAAATTTCATTTAAGAACTGAGAAATTTTAATACCCCAAGTAGGAAATGTGAAACGTATCAAATAGTAACACTGAAATTAAAATTAAGATTTCAAATGAAAAAATGTTGAAAATCTTGAAAAACTCTTGTGGGGGTAAACAGTAAGCCTTATTGGTTAAAAACATGAACATTTTGTGTATGGGACATCATTATACCAAATATAAGTATTATATATTTTATTATGTTTATTTAATTATTTAATTTAAAAATGAAATGTGTCTCTCTTTGATCAATTTAACCCAAAATTCATGCTCATAATTTTTGTTCGAAAAGCTCAGACCTCTTAGATTTTTAAATAGATACTTCTAAAAAATAGAACAGTGGGTAAATGCAAAATATTTATGGAAGGTCAGTCACGCAATAGCGTGTAGAGATGGACACGCTACTTTGGCTAATTGAGCCATTCAAGTGAAATTCAGTAGCTAAATGTGTTATTAATTGTTTTTACCAAGAGGAGTAAAGAAGAAATTGTTCTTCCTTTGTCACTCCTGGGTATTCTGTCAGAAAAGACTTCGGCATCTGGGTCAAAGCCTTCTTAGAAACTTTTAAGATCTACCGAGTTAGAGATTAATAACCTTACCTTACTTACCTCCCCTTAATTTGTTGTGCTGCTTAATAACATAAACTTGGGCTGCATAAACATTTCGGATAATGATTTACCACATTGTTTGACATCAGAAATATATCTTGATCTTGTTTGAAGATAAATAATTAAAATGTAAATATACAGTAGCTAATCAAACCAACAAATCTAAGTGGCTATTAAATTATTTGCTTCGAACAATAATGTTACTGAGTCATTTTAATTATATCAAAAAGATGAATGCGAATAATTCCAATTGCATTGCTAAAGTGATATACTTGATAAAGAAGTGAGATTTTGATCGAATTAAAAAGCGGTTTCTTAATGTCGAATTAGACTCATATTCTATGTTACAGAAACTATTCCATAAGCAATATTAGTTTTGATTGATTTACAAACTTAAAAATTCGGACTTAAAAACGCTGCTTTTTTCGATACTGGGCAACAATTCAGCACTTTTATACCCTGAACATATTAAAAATCGGTAAAAAGGTTTTATTGGTTTTGTGCAAATGTCTGTAACAGACAGAAGGAAGCATCCCCGACCCCATAAAGTATATATATTCTTGATCAGGGTCAACAGCCGAGTCGATATGGCCATGTCCGTCTGTCTATGAACACACAGATCTCAAAGACTATGAGCTAGAGACTTCAAATTTGGAATATAGGTTCTTGTATACCAGGCGCCGATCAAGTTTGCTTTATTTTATCGATAACTGCCTCCGTTTCTCGATTATCGATACGTTTAAATTTCCGATAAATTTAAAGGCAGAATCTTCTAATTTATAAAGAATTTACATATACATATTATTGATAAACTTTTTAAATATCGTCAAGATCGGTTAATAAAAACCCAAGTTATAGTCGAAAATATATCCTCATACTGATCGCATTTCTATCAGCAGATGCAAGCATTTTCTGTATGCATCAGTATAATAGACGCGAGCGTCAATATGTCTGTGTGTGTATTCTGCAGACCCCCGTTACCCCGTTACAATTGCGTGTACGTATATATGTATGTTTGTATTTATGTATATGTACGTGTTTGTTGCCAGTCAGCTAGGATCAGTTCGGGCTTGTGAATAAAAACATGCGCTGCTCGATTGTTTTTACTCATCAGTGCCTGTGCTTGCTATAAAAAATGAGTGCAATTGCAGACCAGCTCACATTTGGTCGCAAAATGTATTATAGGGAAATTTGCCAATAGTCTTAGAATATATTTAACAGCTGAATTCAGGGTAAATCGAGCTCACTCGACTACAGCACTCTTACTTGTGTAAATAGCGGCCAGCGGAGCATATTCGATGAAATCCTTATAGCGTGTATCTTTCAGATGTAGTCCCAAATATAATTTATTTGACATATACATAATAATAATTGTCTTAGTTCCGAGTTTTCTGACACAAATCGGCGCATTGAAAATTCTGTATTAAGTTGTGCTATTAATTTTTTTTGAATTAACCCAAGATATTTGTAAAAATCTGGTGTTTATTAATAAATGAATTTGAACAGATCCTTTTAATTGAGGATAGTTGTGCTTGGAAATGCTAAATTACCTCATATTTTTTCGATTTTCTGTGATAACCATAACAGCTCTAAAGGAGCATTAGCAGAGCCAATAGCTTTCGCTCTGTTCTGCTCTGTCATTTGCAAGAGGAATACAAAAATTTACATTGCTCTATTTAGCTGGACCAACACCATAAAGAAAAAGAGCCGAACTTACATCTTCTGCTAATGCTATAGCAATCGCATTGCTGATTTGCTCGTTCATTCGCCTAACTGTTATCGGAGCTGTTATCTAAGCTGTTATTGCAGCTATTATCCAAGCTGTTATTTCTATTCGTTAAATCGTTATGTAAGTTTTATGACCTGCTTGCTACTGCTATTGCTCGTTAAATCGACAGAGCAGATTTTAGAGAAAGAGCATCCATTTCAGCCTTTCACAATTGCCACGCCAAAATTCGCAGCAGTAACAATAACAGAGCAATAATTATATTGCTTTTGCTGCTACGAAGTAGTAAATTCAAGAACTGGATAGTTGCATACATAGTAATGAAAGTCTTGTTTGTCATATTTTTTTCAAGATATTTGTGTATTAACAACTTAATATTTGAGCAATATCCTCAGTGGTATGTGTATGCTCACATGTAGACGGGCAGACATGGCTGATAAAGAATATATATAATATATATGTACATATAATTATACTTAATGGGGTTGGAAATCTCTGTTCCATACCTCGAGGCATGAATACAATAATCTCTGCAATAGATGTAAAAATAGTTTGTATCTTTTGAGTGGGAACGAAGGTGTTCCTACTTAAGTGCATGGCAGTGTGTTAAGATGTTTAAATAAACTATACAATCACTTTATGTTGGGAGTATACAAATAGGAACAAAAGATTTAAATCAAATTTCACAGTTTAGTAATGAAAAATATGTCTAATAAGTGAATAAGTACATAATACTATGTGTATTTAAATTGAATGCAAATTAAGGAAATCAATTTACAAGATGAGATATATCTATAAATATTTGTTATGTTTTTCTTTTTTTGTATATTATATAACTTTTAATGAGTACAAAATGATTGTGGATGGTTTTAAAGCATAATACAACTAATAATAATAATACACTTATTGTAACTGAATTATACACTTATTTTATGTATTCTGTGCACTAAAACTAGTTGCAATTTCCTTATCCACATACTTATGCCTTATACCTTATGCGTAGGAAAGACTTAATGGACTTAATTTAGCGTAGTATTTTAGGGGCGTTGTATACAAGTTGCTTCAAATATAACGAACCTTAGAGGCTATCACATATATTGGTTATTCGAATTAAACGTTTGTGAGTTGCCGGCATTTATGAATATTGCGGAGACTCTCCTCCCGATGGTATTTTCTTGACGCGGCTAACATCATCGTAAGCAATTGAAAAAACGCTCTTCTTCTCAGCTAGGGGATTCCGACGGCCCATGCTGTTCATCAGTGAGTTCATGGCAATACCTGAGTCGTGGTCATCCTCTAAGGTTGAGGCATTCAACTGCTTTTGGGCTTGCGATGGGGGCTGCGGATGGGGCTGGGGATGTGGATGTGGATGGGGGATGGCAGCATTTGGATCTTCTATATAAAGATTTATTTTCGATTTTGTTAACTTGACTTCGTTCTCTTTGATAGGCGACGGCTTCGGTTTGTGCCTCTGCTGATCCTTATCCTTTTCTGTTGCTGTCGCATATGGCGGTGTCTCTGGATACATGTAGTGTGGCAATTTGGTGGGAGCTGGTGGCACTTCCGGTGCATTCTCACGCTCGAAACGGTGCTCGGAATGCTGCACGAGCGGATGATTGATGTCAGTCTCGACTTTGGGCTTGTGCTGCTTATTCAGGGCTCGATCCTCTTTCAGCAGTCGACTGCCTTTTGGCGGAGATTTTCGCGGAGCCGGTTCCGGCTTGAATTTTCCCGCATCGTCATGCGTTGCTATATCTTCCGGCTTTGACTTTGTACGGGTTTTCGACACACGCTTCTCGGGTGCACTCTTCTTCTTTAGTGACAAGTGCGACTTGGATGACTCCGTCGAGGAGGGGGTCTTCTTCTTACTGTAATACCATTCCATGTACTTGGGCACAGTTTTCTGTTCGTTTGCTTGCTCATCGTGAGCGCCCAGTTCCGTTTCACTTTGATAATAGCGATTTAGGGATCTTTTCGAACCTCTCATTTCACTGGAAATATTATCGTGATTTCGGCCAATTTCACTTGGAGTCATTTCGTATTTGGAATTTGAATAACGACTGTTTGGCGGTTCCGAAGACGTTTGCATTCGTGTTGAGGTTTGGCTACGTCTCGAACTGTCTCGACGTGATAATCTCGGTCTAGCCTCGGGTTGTATATCAGGTTGCATATCCGTTGGTGAAGTGGTGCTCATGCCTCTATTTTGGTGGGATACAGTTTTCATCTGCACTTCATGGGGTTGCTCCGTTTCGCTTGACCTTTTAGCATAGCTATTTCTTCCAGATGGATTCACATTTGTCCTAATTACAATTTCACCCTCGTCCGAGTCAATTGAGTACTCGGTGCTGTTCTCATCGACTTCAACATCAATGTTCTCGTAGTACTGATGCGTTCGATGTTGTCTTCTCGGACTACTGAATTCGTCGAGAGAATCGGATATTTCGATTAATACCTCTCGGCTAATGGCTTCGGATTTGTTGTGTTTTCCATTGGTTTCCTTGTGTTGAGCAGCACCGTCGATTCTACGGCTTTCATCGCTTAGCTGCTTCCGTAGAATACTCGTTTTGGTTTCCCGTAGTGGTTTTCTGGGCGGCACACGTTTCCTTACCTCGTTGACCTCCTCCTCCTCCCGTATGGGTGTCCTTATCTTGCGCTTCACCTCCTCGACCATAACTATTCTTTTCCGTGGCTGTGAGCTGCCCCGGAGTTTTGGTTGCCTTTTGGGACGACGACGCTTTATCCAGTACATGCCATTGGGACTATTTGGTGGACTGAAGCGTACATATTTGTACTCATCCTCGGACATTGAATCATCATTTTCGCTCCGGGCTCTCCGGGCCTTCAAACTGCCCAGATAGCCGTCAGTCGGTTCGGTTTGGGTGCCAGCATCGCAATCGGTTTGTGTTCCAATCGCCATCGATTGGCCCGGCAGACTTTGGGTCTCCAGGACAATTTCGTGCTGGGTGTATCTCGTCTCGAGTTTTTCCTTTTCGAGCAGGATCTGTCGCAGGAGCGCATTCTGTTGCTTCAGCGAGTGCTCCAGTTCGTTGCTAAGCGTATGATCTCCCACAACTGGCTGCAGTTGAGTTAGTTCCTCTTCGCCCTGAACGGACTGGGTGTGAATGACTTTCACCTCCGGCTCCGTTTGGGAGTAGACAATGCTATTTGGTCCCGATTTACCCAAGGGAAACGTATCGCCCTTTAGCGTTGATTCCTGAAGTATTTCGTTGGGCATTGACTGAATGTATGTGGCACCTGGCACAATATGATAATGCTCCCGAATAATCTGCTTTCCGTCTGGCTGCTCTTCTATGAATCGCCGCATCAGTATCTCCTTGCCCGTATTGTCCACCATCAGCAGCTGTGGCTGCGAAAGATTAGTCGATGACTTTATTGGCACATTCACGTAAATATTATCATCGTCCAAGGCAGCACCGTCGCGAGTCTTGTCCCTGGTCATCAGCTGTAGAATCTCGACATTGCCGTCTTTTATGAAGAGTTCTCGTTTATTCTTGAGACTGTTGTGTGCAGTGCCAAAGCCAACATCGCTGCCACGATCTATTTCGTGCCTTCTCATCGAGTCGTCGTCAATCTGTCGAGCATCCTTGTCGTAGTTCTTGAAACGTGCATTCTCCAATTGTCTATTCTCCGTTGTACGCGTCAGTTTTTCCTTCATTTCCACCAGACGCCGATCGTCCATTACGTCCTCAATGTAAACGTCACGGTCGTTGATTAAATTAGTTCTAGAATTATGGAAACTATGATGTGGGTCTTCTTTGGCTGTGTGGCTGTTTCTATTAAAAAATATGGATCATATTATCAAGTCCAATATCATAACGATACACTCAGAAAAAAAGTTGCCCTCAATTTTAAGAATTTGTCTAACTTTTGGAGTCAATGTGTTCTCACATGTGACTTTCTAAAAACCAGGTTTAACTTTTCTTAATTTCATGGTGGATTTTTCTAAAATTTAGAAACAATTTAGACAGTAAAAAATCTTGGACAATAAAATAGGTGTAAAGACGATGAATTGTAAATATTTAAAATAAAACTTTAATATCATGTCCCAAATGCAATATATTAATGAGTAAATATGGAAACATTGTTTCTTAATGAAAATCAGAAGTCTCCATCTTAAGATAGCCAGTCACAGTCATTTTGTTTAAGTACATTTCTCTGGGCAGGGCAGAGATATAAATGCTTGGATTTTTTCTATAACTGAGTGTTTGCAGTTCAACTTTTTAGAAACATTTTCTATTTTTAAGAAAAATATTCCAAAAAAAAAACACCATGATTTAGGAATTGTCGATTTGGAGCTAGTCTACTTTTAGGAAAAGTGCCTTCTGGTGTTAAGAAATTATTTCTAAAATTCCAAAAACGCAGGTGGATTTTTTTCTGAGTGTATATGTAGATTCGTACTTAATGCGGACGCGTCTTTGCTGATATTCAGCGGATTCTGGACGGCGTACAACATCGCCATCGGTATTAATAGCAGCGTGCTCCATTTCTAAGTTTTCGTTTGGCTGTTTATGTCCATTCCGGAACTCCCAGCGGGTTGGCTTTGTTCGCGTATTTGATGGCTTCTCCGCTGACCAGGCCTCTCGTCTTCCCATCCATTCGGCGACCTGAAAGTTGCGGTATTTTATATTTATAAATTAAGCGTATACTTTTCAAAATGTTAACTTTTTGTCCTTCAAAAATGTTTTCTAAGGTGGATAATACTTAAAAGAAACTCGGAAATGGGATGTGCGCTCAGAACCAATGTGAATTGTGGGTAAGTGTTATGTTTGAAAGTAACATAAATGACAAATAAAAAAAGAAGAACAAATTTTATACAAAAAGTGCGAATTTGCATTTTTCTAAGTGTGCTCGCAGCTCTCTACTATGCATAATTCTAGGTACTGTGTATTATTTGAAATAGATCAAAATCTACCTGAACAGATTTTGTTTGTTTTCCATTTGCCATTTCTCTATGCACTAGATGTACATCGTCTTCAGTTCTACTGATATTAACTATTCTTTTGCTACAAGAGAAGAATAAAGAATTAAAGATCAAATGAATGGTGTTTCAATGTTTCAATGATAAATGATATGAGCTTTAAAGAGGTATTTCGATTCCTCACTACATTGAACTCTTTACTTAGTCTTTGGTATACGATACTCTAGAGCAATCATATCTTGGGAAATATAATGATATCGTCCCTTTGTGATGGACTCGGGCTCAGTTTAGTTTAGTTTAATTTGAAATTACCACCCACATTGAATAAAATATAAGAATGAAAATGTTAAGTCATCGATATAGACGTAGTTGTTGTGTTTCCCATCTATTATCTCAATTCGTTACTATTGATTAGTATCTGTTTTTGTATTTTTGTTATCTAAACACGTGTAAATATTATTTATATCAGACAAGTTTTAATGTGGCTTGTATTGGGTTACATACCGAGACTAAGTTACCGAGTCAAGAAGCAAGGGATGGATACATAGGATACAATAACTATTATTGTTATTCTCACTCGTGTTACTTACGTAGCTGCACCATACAGAGGACACCACGAGCATATGCAGCACATTAGCAGAATCAGGATCGTCAGAGCAACCAGAGTGGCCAGCAGGATGAGCAGCCAAAACAAAACCTTATTTTCAGCTTTGTACTGTGTCTGCGTGGGAGTAAGATTCTATTAAGATAATCTCGTCATTAGTCGCTAGCTAAACAATTCATTAATAGCCTGATTCCACTATCAACATTTCTTATTTTTTCTCGAGCATCTGCAGTATGTAAAGTATTTTCCCATATTGGATAACATTCTGTACATTTAACATTCGTAAAGTATACTGCGAATTTTAGAAATTCGATTATTATTTGCGATGGCTTATCGATTTTCGTATCGATCAAGTATGTTAAACGTTTTACTTAAAATACTAAAATAATTTGATTAAATTATTTTTTTTTAATGATTTATGAAAATTTAAAAACAAAAGCAAAATTGAAATTAAATCCTTTTTATTTATTAAATTTGTTTCATTGCTCTATATCGGAAATGCTTCGGTCTGCCTGTTACATTAATTTGCACAAAACCATTTACCCATTTTAAACGGTTCATATAAAAAAGAAGAAACAAGATATTAAATTTTGGAAATAGGCATTGCAGACAAGTAAGGTAAGGTAAGTAAGACAAGAGGTCGACTACGATATACGTAATATATATTCTAGTTTTATTGCTAAATTTTCTTTTAAAATGTTGCGCACTCAAAGTTGAGGAAGTGGTCTCAATTCTAATGGCCTGTGAAGACAGTGAAAAGTAAAAAAACGGAGGCAAATATATATGTTATATGTTGTTAATGGCACTAAACTATAGGAATTTCCTATTGGTATATTAGTCGATCATAACAATTGCTATATAGACTCTGCTGTTGATATACTTTATGGGATCGAAGATCCGTTCTTTTGCTTGTTACTTACGCTTGCACAAAGTGATATACCCTTTTTAACCAATCTCTAATGGGTTCAGGGTATATTTATGCAATCAGCTGTTTTATTTAAACCAAATAGTGATGGTTGAGAGTATTGGTAATGGTGGAATCAGGCTGATATATAAGATAGCTTACGTCTGAGGCCGCCGTGTTTTGTGGCATGATTGCATAGGAGTTATTATGCTGTGAGAGTCGCTGTTGTATCTGCGAGATGTCCACGACAGATGAGCTGTCATAAAGAACCGTTGCAGTGACCACACTGCGTTCCTTAATGTTGGGATTACCATCGAGGAGGTCCTTGGCACCCGGCTCTTCCGGTCTGAGTGGTCGTATTTCGTGAATGAAGACCTTGCCACCCGTTATGGCTGAGAGAGTCTCCTCTGTCTTTCGCTTATCCAAGCTGCTTCCTGGCACCACAAATGTGACGATGCGCTTTCGGCTCTCCGGCGGATATATGCGTATACTCGTCGTCGAAAACCGGACTGGCACTCCCAAGTCATAGGCCCGAGCGGTTAGTATGAATAGATCGCTTTCAGCATCCGAAATGGTCATGTCCTGTGCATCGCGGCGCCTTCGCATGCCGGCGCTCTTCTTGGAGCGAAGATTGATCTTTTGCCGCACCGTCAACTCGCCCGTTACCTTGTCGAGCACAAAATTATTCTCGTAATTACCGTGAATGAGCTCGTAGCGCACAACATTGTTCGGGGCCGTGGCATCCTTGTCTGTGGCATGTATAATTGCACTGGTTGTGAAACTGGTCAAATCGGCTGCCAGTATAAATTCGTACAAATCCTTTTCAAAGATGGGCGTCTCATCGTTCACATCGATTAGCCTAATAATTAGAGGGACCTGGGCACGATTGCCATTGCCGTCCATGTCCCGTGCCTCCACATATAAGTGGTACTCGGGCATTACTTCCCGATCAAAGCCATGACTATCGGTTGACACCGTTATCGAGCCGTTCTCCGCATTCAGATTGAGCGACGTGTTCAGGTAACCCAAGATAGCAGTGTATCGCACCTTGCCACCCAGACCCGAATCCAAGTCACTTGCATGGACCTGGACAACCTTTGTGCCGACTGTCATGTTCTCTGGCAGTTCCACGGTATATTCCGGCTGATCGAATACCGGTGAGTTGTCATTGACGTCATTGATATAAACGGTCACATTGACCATTGCCGAAAGATTTGTGGCAGGACCCAGTTCCTGGGCAAGTATATTGAACTGCACCGAGTGCCGTTGCTCGTAGTCCAACCAGGAGTTGTCACGCACTCGGATTAGGAAGGATGCACTGCGTTCGGCCACATTTGGGCTAATCTCAAAGGTGCCATTGTTGTTAAGCAATGTCAGTGAAAAGACTCCGTTCTTTCCAGTATCGTCGTCGTAGACCCGTGGCACATACGGATCGATGAACGTCAGTGCTGAACCCTGTGAGGCATTCTCATCCACTCGTGAGACATAGCTACTCGAACAAACGGGAAGAAAGAGATTGTCAACAAGATATTAGCATTAAGTAGATAAAAATCTTAAGCATAACGCGAGCCTCAGTTCGAGTTGGGCTTGCCAACTGAAGTGGTCTTTAGGGTGTGATTATAAATAAATAAGAGTGCTCCAAATCGACTGTTTTACTGGACACAAGACACAGATTAAAAATCGTTTTGAGTTTTAAAAATTCGCCATACTCTTGGCTACAATGGTTCCTCAACTTATTATTTTGAAACTAAATTTCTAACCTTCCGGTTGTGGTTTTCTTAAAGTCGTGCTTTGCATTACCAAATTGCAGTGTGGCTTTTCTAAAATTTAGAAAAAATTTGACAAATTTCCAAAGTGTTGTTGTTCTATATATTGAGAGCAGATTTCACTACTATTTTCACAATTTCAGAAATGATTTTTTTAATAAATAAAAATTAATAAAAAACACCAACGTTTTTGGATTGTCGATTTAGGGCTTGGCTCTCTAATTTGAGGAAAATCTTTTTCTTATATTTGGAAATTAGTTTCTGAAAACAATGTGCATGAATGCATTTAAAACTTTGAGTGAGTCTATACATTTTTTTGATGCAGCGAGTAATGAGAAATAACTTTGGAGAGCGTGAGAACAATGAATAAGAAAGAAGTAAAGAAAAAAACATATAAAATTTATGTTAATTCTTCAGTCAAAATCATTGCGACAATCTTGTTTTCTTTATTTTGACAGCAGCTCTCTCCTCGTATTGGACACTACTGTACCCATTCTGTCATTTCATTTTTCACTCTCTCCCTTTGGATTCTATGGGGCCACTGTGCAGCAAGAAAAGTGTACACTAATTAGAAATAAATATAGTCATGTATACCTCTATTAGATACCCTGTTCTTAGCTCTGACACACTTCGCAAAATTTAAATTAATGCCGATTAACAATGACCTGCTTTCGTGTTCCATACCATATTATTAACAGTTTTAAAAGCACACAATTTATTTGCATATTTGAGTCGAAAAAAAAAAATAAATAGAATGTCCTGAGATTTGGAAAATCACCATTTTAGTGATTTTTCTAAAAATTTAGAAAAAGGTTTATAATTGCATGGTTTTTTTTTTATATTTGTTCACAGAATTCTTACATTAGCTTTTTTGTTATATATATTATTAAACATAGTATTCAAGATTTCATATACACAATATTTTAGATAGTTTATAAACTCATATAATTTACCAGGGAAAACTTGAAGGGAAAACTAAATCAAGGCCCTAACTTAGAAACCGAGACTGCTAATTTTATTAGTTGCTTATGCATTTTAGAACATCTTGTTGTTTTCTTGAAATAAATGTTTTTATTTCCACTTTTTATATGTTTATTCGAAATATCTTTTGGAATAAAAGTCAATATTACTTTAAATTAAGAGAAAGTCTTTCTAATTTTAAGAACAATTTTCTTTGCTCTTTTAGAAATTATATCTTAAAACAAGTAACAACTTTTTCAGAAGGATTTTTATTTTAGATGATTTTGTAAAACAATTTAAATCAGTTGAAAGCTTAAGCAAATATACTGATTTAATTTTTCGTATTTACATCCCATTTTTTTTTAACACTCTAGAAAATCTTAGTTTTCGCCATATTGAGAAAATTAACTTCTGTTAAGTCTTATTTAATCGTCTTCTGCCAGTTAAATCATTCGTGGCTAAAAACCTAAGCGAAAACAACATTCATTGCCTGGCGCTTTTGTGTAAATGGTAAGAAGAATAAACTTACGAATAAACTTAAACTAAAACTTGAAAAAGATCCAACACAAGAATAGTGCAAAATGTATTTTAAATTACTAAGGATAGTTCGGAAAGGGTATCATTTTCATTTGTGGCTTACTCGCTCATCCTTTGCTGAGTGTATATACTTACTGATCATTCTCGAAATAGGGCGGTGAATTGGTACGATCCGGCAAAAAGAACGCCAATTGGACCGTGGAAGCCATGGCTGGAGGTTCGTCACGACCAATCTTAACTTCTTCCGCAATTACGGTGAGCAAGACGGGATCGCCCACGTGCGTGATGGCCGCAATGTCTTCGATCGGTCTCTTTAAGAAGATTTCACCTGCAATGCGATGCAATCATAATTAAAATTAAAATCAAATTTACAAGATTATGGTCTACTTGTGATTATTTTTACTGTAAACCTGTTGCCTTCAGATATATGCATTGAGTATTTTGTGTGGCATGAGATCACATTAAGAATGTTTTTCTTGTACACTCTGACCATTTTTTTAATGTTTCTTAAAAAAACACCCTATCCAGAAAGGCATATAAGATTCAAATGGACAGCCATGGGAAAAGTTATTCACAAGTAAAGGAATAAGCTAAAAAAAAGAATACTTTATGGGGTGGCGGATGTCTCCTTAGGTACTTGACGACAATATTATAATACTCTGCAAGGGAATAATGAGAGACGCCTCACATGCTAATAGAGGTATGCCGTTAATGTTCTCATTTTAGTTTTTGCTTAAGGCTGGCTGCCTCGTCAAGAGACAACGAAAACAAAAAGTAATTATGAGAAGGCTTGGGAAACTTCTTTTTTTTATTTACTTTATTTTGCACCTGTATGCATCTTATGAACACATTAAACTAAGTAATGCATATTAAACAAGAAATAAATCGGTTCTCGGCAAGCCGAAGCTTTCTACACTGGCAAAACAGATCCACGTAAAACTTAATATAATAATATTAAAAATAACAATAAAGAAGAAGCTATAAATTACACTAATTTAGTTATGAATTGAAGAACAATTTAAAAATAACTATAAAAATAATAATAATTGAAATTTAAATATAATAAATAATGTAAACTTTTATGTATGCTCTTCGATTATTCAAGTAGCAATTAGTTTTTAGTTAAATGTACAGATTTTTGGGTATTAAAGCATGTATTGCGTACATATATCGTCTGACTTGCGTGAACTTCTTTATATGTGTATGTCCATTTATGTATATTATTAGCGACATAAAAGATGGATGTTGTTTGTATTTGTTTGTTTTGGGGCTTAACTCCATGGCGATGCATCAAGAATGCTGCCGATTTTTGTGAAAGAAGACGAACTCAAAAGTTAGCCTACCACAATGCCCCTTAACACATGCCAAAGATCCAGTTGGGCAAAGTCACGAAGTTTTTCGAGCTCTCGTCTACAGCAAGTACAATTTCTGCCTGGGACAGAGTCATTGCCATCAAAAACTGGCAATGAACCAGAGAAACACGAAACAAGGAAGCTCAAACGCAATTATTGTGACTTGATTGTGACTACGAAGAGCGAAGAGCAAAAACCTTGCGGAGCCAAGAGCTACATTGCACTTCCAGAACTTATTCGCAACATATATACATACTCGTACATATATATACATACTCGCACATACATATAAGATGAGCTCGGGCATCTAACGAGTCTAACGATGGACCGGATTGTGGCTGGTCTCTCTGATTGCGAGTAGTAACTATGTTAAAATCTTTTTGATGTTGCATTGTTGTTTTTTATACTCTGTGCTGCAGTCAGTCTACACATAAAATCGATAAAAAAAAAAGTGCATGAAAAAAGTGTTTACAATACATTTGTATGTAAAATGCAGAATATGGCATATCCATATATAGAACATAACATATTATACATTCGTATGGTATGTAAATGTCTATTATATTTGTCTGTCCCTCAGGCTTAATTCCGGTTCTTTTGTGTTCATTCTCAGAATAGGAACACAAAAAGTGGTACATTTTTTTGTTATAGTTTGGCTCGTTATGCTTTTTAGTAATAGTCTTCGGCTGAAAATGTATCTAGATACTAAATAAATAAAAATTTGTTCTATATATATTCACTTTGGCGTATTTTAAAGTATTGCATTTACCAAAATACTTCATATTTCGTACACAACCCATCTTTGTTTAAAGTTATTGATTCGAATGAAAGAATGAGAATTAATAAAATTATAATACGTGTTCACTAGAAGTTGATCCATAAAAAACATTTTCTCCAGGTTAATTTTAAGCTAAACTACATTTTTACTCTAGAAAAAGGCTTCTGCCTTTGCCTACAAAATGTATTCTATCTAGTTTTATAATTTAAAAAATGTTTGCATTCCTAAATACACAACTTATTTTTTTCCTTAAGAAAGTTCATAACATTTTTACATATAAAAAGAAAATCTAAATTAAAGTCTTCATCTATTATAGAATTACATATTTATAAATTTAATTATTTGTATATTTAGCTACAAGTTCGACACATATGAAACATGTGTCTCCCAAGATATATATTTAGGTATAAGCCAAAATGTTTTAGTCTAAATATGAAAAAATTTTAAATTTTCGAGAGCTTCATTGAAACTGTGTTTTTAACTAGTTTGTAATCTGCGATGTAGCTAAAATAGCTTTATTATTGGTGTCTATTTCTATTCGTTATTTTTATTTGTTGCATAGTGTGATTAATAGATTGCACTTACCGCTGGTATCGTTGATGTCAAAAAATGAGGTAAATGGGTTGTTTTCAGAAACTAAGCCATATCGCACTTCCCGCGGGCTTCCTTTATCCCCGTCCTCTGCATGTACTTGCAATATCTTTGAATGTCAATGATAGTTATAAGGTTATGTTTTATAATTGACTTAAAGAATTCAAACACCTTGTCGCCTGATAGTATACCGGGTGGTAATTTTGTAACCGGTGGTGCCAAAGTAAAAACGGGTGGCTGATCTTGCACATCTTGCACAATGACAACAATCTCCATGCCTGCGATATTGCGTCCATCTTGTCCAGGCTCAGCATATGCATCCTAAAATCGAATATGCATTAGGGGGTACATATAATAATCATTCAAATTACTCATCCAGACGTACATTGGCCAGAATGGTCAAGTGGTACATTGCTTGCTTCTCAAAATCCAATGGCCCCAAAAGGAAAACGGTGCCTTCCGTTGTCTCAGCAGATATTATCTTTTGTCTTATAGCAAATAATGGCGAACCCTAAAGTTGAAATCCACATAGTAGTTTGCTTAAATGTGTTTCGTATATAACTCACCCATAACTCGAGGTAGACTGGTTTTTGAAACAGTGGGTTTTTCCGGGCAATAACATAATCGAGTTCTGAGCCTCGCTTTGCATCCTTTAAAAAGAGTAAAAAACCATCGTATTTAATAAAGGAAATTATTAGATTTTTAAAAATACGTTGTACTGTAAGAAAAAGTAATCATTTTGTAAAAAAAAAATACTTTATGGCGAGTGCAGATTTTGGTTAATTTGACAAATGCTGCTGAGTATTTCATCAACATTTTTTTCAATTTTTAAAGTAAGCATTTCAGAAGCGTTAACATTATTTGTAAACCAAGAGCTTCAGCGATTTATAAGTAAATTGCTTTTTGTTTGAATACTCCACACAAAACAAAACCAATGCGAAGACGTGGCCAAATAAACAAAGTAATTTTGTCACAGTATCACGCCAACTTTCTACAAATGATTGTTTCATTAATGCAGCATGAAATTTGCCAACACAAAAGAATTGAAATATATCTACACTATCGCTATTGTTGAAGGAGTTGTATAATATTGTCTGTATTTATTTCTTTAACTTTTAGCTTTTGTGTTTTTATACTTTTATTGCAATTACCCTTGCATAGAGCATTCAAGGTTGGCTTCAGAGTTAATCTAGTCTGTCCGTCTGTATAAACACGATCTCAGAGAATAGAGACAATGTAGGCTTTCGTATACCGTAACATATTGATCAAGTTTATTTCTTTCGCCTTTGGATATCTTCCCATTTCGAGAATATCGATAAATATCGATTGCTGATAGCTCAATTTGAAAGTTATATCCTTCTAATTGAGTTCACATTTATTGATGAACTCTCATTAAAATCGGATATAGATATAAGATAAAATATAAATATTTTCATAATGAACAAAGCTTGATCTTAATTTCGCGTTTTAGAATCATTCGATTTATTTTCTGCGTCAACCTTAAAAATTGTGAATCCTACAAAACTAATTTTTAAAAATGTGTGCAAAAGAAAAACACTTATTTTAATCGAGTTAATTGTATAATCTTAAATAGTTGAAATAGTTTTAAATTGAATATCATTTGACACAAAATATGATATTGGAAATTATGTGGCCTGCATATGCTGTCGTCAGTACACTCAGAAAAGATTTTATTAAATTAAAAATTATGGGTTTTGCATTTCTTAATTTCATAATACATTTTTAAAAAATGTAGAAAAAATTTGTATAATTTCGAAGGTAAGATAAAAAGAATATATATTACGGATTTCTTATTTTAGGATGGTATTATTAATTATTTCTAAAACTAAGAAAAGTTTATAGATTAGAGGTTGATTTTGATTTTGGGGAGATTTTTTCCTGAGTGTTGAGTTTTAGTGTCAGTGATTTCATCATACAGGTTCTTACATTTGAAATAAGTAATAATTTACGGTAGTTAAAATTCTTTTGATTTGGGAGCTCACCTCAGGTATCATGATAATGCCCGGCTTATGTGGGAATATAAGGTCATGAGGTGTGCTGAAATTGGTCGCTGTAATTGAACACAATTGCGTGGTCATGCCACCATTTGTGTCCTTCACAGAGACTTGGAAGTCATAGTAGCGGCCCGGCTCAAGACGTCGCTGTAAGACAACATTTGCCTGACAGACCGAATTGTACTTGGTGCATGGAAGCGATTCCACCTTGACGGTGGACGACGATGCATCGCCCATAAACTCAAAGGTCAGTGGATAGTCGAACTCCTCGTCAGTGGCACGCAATCTGTAGATTACAGAGCCGACCTGTGCGTCGGCCGGCACCAGCACCAGCCTCATGCGCGTGGAGGGGTCGAATTTGGGATCTGCTCCGTGAACGTGATGTAGACACAGAATTCCAATTAGGAGGCTGATTGTCAGCAATCGATATGCGGTCATTGCGCTCAGCCATGGGACAAACTGCAATAGTTGCCGGCATTGCTGTTGTTGTTGTTGCTGTGGTTGTTGTTTTTGTTGCTGCAGCTGGGAGGTAGGTGGTTGATAATAGTAGCATTCTTCTTCTTCTTCTTCTACTTCTTGCCTTCTTGCTACATTCGTGTTGCTTGCGGCAGTTCTGAGACCGCATTGCGGCACATGTGTTAAGCGGTGACTTTTTCTGTGAAAACTGTTGCTACTGCTGGAAGCCATTGCTGTAATCAAAGATACAAAATGCTGTTGTTAGAAACGGTATGTATTATGTGTGGTTTAGTTAAACGCATTGCTTATATATATATTTAAATATATTATACCATCGAAACTAAAGCAACATTGCTAAGTTTCTTGCTTAACTATTTAATCACGTATTAAAGTGATTACACTCGCACTGAATTTTAGAAATTCGCCATTCTTTTGGCGTCAAGGCCAAATCACCTTATTATTCAGAATATAAAAAAAATCACTCTATTTTTGGCAATTAAGAAAAGCATTTATAATAAAAATTTTTTTATTTAGGAATTACTTTAGGACGATTTTAGTTTTAGGGCGTTTCCACGTTTGAGACTTCATGGCTAACACCAATTCACGTAGATATTCTGCATCATTAGCTCGAATAAGAAGAAAACTTATTATCATCTGTTTGTGGCATTAGACAAAAAGTATCGTCAAGTTGTCCATCTGATTTAGTCATTTTCCTTATTTTTCCTGTGTTCTCTGTGTCTAACAGAGTAAAAATATTAATATATTGTCCAAGATTTTATAATGTGAAAGGCTGAAACTAATTTTCAATAAGTATCCCTGGAAAAAATCGTGGAAATTAGAAATAGGCCATTCTTTTTGGAGGCATGGGTATCTTATAGTTAAGATATTTCATTTCTTTCATTTCTTAATTCACTGGACGATTTATCTAAATTTATTAAAAGGATTTCAAAATTCGAAGAACTCTCGAAAAGCTTTTTTGTTACTTATATCCCCCCTAATAATAATACTTATATCATTATTATTAAACATAAATAGTTTATAATTTCACAAATAAAAATATCTTGGATATATTATCATTTATTTTTTCAAAACTTTAGAAAGTGTATTTTCTAACAATCGGCGATTTGCATTTCTACTTTTTATACGCTTATTAGAAATATATTTCTAATTAATACAAAATATTTATGAAAAATAGAAAAAAGAATCTCTTATTTTTATTAATTTATTTGCAAAAGCTTTTTAGGACGATTTTATTTTCTTCTAATTGGCACTGATATTTTGATGAAGACAATTTAACACATGAATTAATATACGTACAATTCTTATATAAAATTCTAAAAAATTAAATTCTGTTCTGTCAAGTTAAAATTGGGAAAATAAAAAACTTCTCGTATAAGGAAATTATATTTAGCTGTTCTATAAAACATATAGATGTACTCAAAGTCATGTACAATGGATAATGTACCATATGGTGAATATATTTGGTGTATTGGCCCTCAACTCGAACGCGCCACGCTGCCTTCATCCATCCATCCAGTCAGCAAATGGATGAAAATAGCAACTGTATCTGCAGCCGATGCTGCAGTCGCTGCATCTGCATTTGTGGCTCGTTTGATGCTGCTCAAACTTCAAACTCGAACTTATTGCGAATCCGGTTTTGTCCGCCGCACTGTCGGAGTGTCTGGCCTGCCAGTTGCTAGTTGCATTCGCGAATTTCCAGTTTATGCAGCTGCAGCGTCGTGTCCTTAACTGCAGCATGCAACAAGCAACAACAAGCGAATGACCAGTTATGTCAGTCGATTTGGATAGAGTCGACTTGAGGCGGGGCGAGCCAGCTTTGGCCACCCTCGCACCCTCGTATTTGGCGCTACGTCGTTTAAATTTACGGCCAAGTATGTTGCAATATTATGTTTGGCCCGCATTTGGCTTAGACTGGCTCCAGTATTACATACTAACGAGTGAGCATTCGCAAGTAAGTCTCGAGTCTCAGTACGACTCGCAGTCGCAGTCCCAGTCCCAGTCTCAGTCGCAGTCTCCGATTCAGTCTCAGTCCCAGTCTCAGTCTCAGACTCAGTCTCGTTCCCAGTTCCAAGTCCCCAGTCCCTGTCAGCAACTTTTCCGCGTTCACTGGTTTTTAGACTGCGGCACTATTGCGCAACAATTGTATCACACAATATTTGTGCCATTTGGTTAAATTTCTCTTAACACACATACGAAAATAAAAAAAACGCCAGCCGGACTACAAACTGCTGTTGTGATTGTAGTTGTAGTTGTGCTGACGCCAGGCAGCCTAGCCTCTCCAAGATCTCAGTTCAAATTGTATTTTCACAAAACTTTGATTGTCGACATGAACCCATTAGCAGTCGAAGCATCGAAGCCAATAAATAAGCTTAGTTTAATGATATTAATGTTTGGGAAAATATCCTATTTTTTTATTCTGTATGCTATCTGACGAGAAATTCTATACTGATATGTATTTTATTGATATATTCTCTTTATTTTCTTTTCCTGCGTAGTTTGTGTTCTTAAGCATAGTTCTGAAAATAGGCAAATATAAACCGTGCATATTTCATATTTACCATAGTTTGTAAATAGGTATCTCAAAATGTATACCAAAAATAAAAAATTATATCTTTCGTATCGCAATATCAGGCTTATAAAATGTATCAAATCAAATGAAATCGTAAAAAAGTAGTAAAAAAAAATATTTAAAACACATGACACATGCCGATGCAGAAATTTCAGAATCCATCAGAGCAACGATCTAAGCTATTATAATACTTTGCATTAATCTAAGCAAAAATAAAATATATAAGCTATTGAATATATAAGTTCGAATACCATGCATAGTTTCGATACTAACAAACTATATTGAAATTCCTTCAATAATATGTGCGATACATTTTTGCATAACTTTGAGAGTGTAAAATTATAAAAATAAAATACGCTCTCAGCCTCGCCTCTTTAAATGTCTTTATAAACTTTTGCATACTTGCTTACTTGCAGAACCCGTCAGCAGTCCATAATCAATGGAAAGTTTATTTACCTGGATCGGCAAGCGGGTTTTGCTCGATTAATTCTAGTGTTCAGAAAGAATCAGTGATTATTATAAGGAAATAAGAGTTATGCAAATGTATAGATCGCAACAAATATACTTGGGTACGAACTGCATTGGAGTGAAAAAACAAAGTATACTTCTTGCAAACTATTGAAACTGAGATGGGTCGATGGAATCTCTGTATCATTTGTACAGATTAAATTTTGAAAAAAATGTTACATTTGTACAATTTTAAGGTAAACATTTTAAATGGATACAGGACATAGAAAAAATTCGAGTGAATTAAAATTAAAAAAGGAATTAATAAAGATTTTTATAATTTTTCCTAGATTCTAACCTATGGTTGCAAGAAATTAATTTTTCGAAATTTGTTGGATTGTTGTCTTTTCTCGTTTGGCATTAGCCTTCTGTGCCAACAGATTGTTGATGTACTTTCCTCTGAACATATGGCAAAGTTCATGCTCTCTGCTCAGTACAAGGTGTTCTGAGTAATCTCTCAAGATTCGGTTTGCGTATGCAACAGCTGCAATCATTATAAAATTTATACTTCAGTATACATCCGGCGAGGAAACTGCTAACATGATATTTATGATATTTAAATCGTTTATTTTATTTTTTGATTATATCATAATATAATAAATAATAAAATGAGATGCAGCTGCATCCTAATAACGGTAACGGGTTTGAATTTTAAAATCCAGTTTGTTTAAAGTCGGGGCCTGGCTAGACATATTAAAATATATTGCAAAATGTAATATTTAGTTTTATAAATATATAAATATACATATATGTATCACGGATGGGCCTTCATATAGTTTTTAAATATACAAAATGTCCTAGGGGAGATAACATTTTCTTCAGTTCTTTGACATAAGCAGATTAACCGAATTATCTCTCCCGCATATTGTTCCTTAATCACGAAAGACTCGTAAGGGTGTCGACCACTTTTATTTTGTAATATACAATAAGACACTGTTCTCACTTTATCACTAGGGTAATTTCAGTAACTCGGTTTTTGAGGGGCAAAATGATTTTCCTTGGTATTTAAGTGGTTTACTTTTCTCGATCGCATGAAAAGTTTTATGCTTAACAACGGGAAAATAATGGCATACCCAACACTGTAATGAAAACCGTTGTCTTTAATGTTCCAATATGATAAAATGTTCCTTAACTAGAAAAATAAATATATTGATTAGTTTCTGATGCAGCTGGAATAATTTAAAGAGCGATTTTCAAAACACCAACTATTACAAAATGTTAAAAAAAATCCGTGAAATGGAGTATAGTGCTGAAATGACATGTTCATGAAAATACTCTTTGATATCTTCCTCTTATTTCAAGGATTTTCCCTTGCCCCTTTTCACATCTTTGAACATGAAGAGATTGCAGAATTTTATTACGCTCCTATGTAATTCCTGTGTAAAAAACTTACTAACTTAATTTGTTTCAAGATTCAAAACTTAATTGTAATATAACATAATTAAATTTAGATCAATATGTAGTAAGCCATTATCTTATTTGTAGCAATATGAGAAAGCACCAAAGAATTATGGAATACACAAAATATTGATTAGATTCTAATGAAACTGGAATAATTGAAAGAACGTTTTTCAAAACAATTGTTGCAAAATGTTGAAAAATTCTATGAAACTACACTGCTCAAATTGCTTATTCGTGCCTCATTATGCTTGCCTCATATGCGTGAAAATACTCTTTCATCTTTCGTTCGTAATTGAAGGAAGTTTTCCTTGCCCTCCGATTTTAACATCTTTAGGCATAAGGAGCATGCACAAGTTAGAAGTTTACGCAATTCATATAAGGCGATTATTGTTACACAGCTTGGGTGTTTAGTAGAAGGGATAATGTTATTTGCTAGATGCAGCATAATAACATTAAATTAAGTTGCTAGCAGCAATCATGCATTTAGTGAAGGGTGTATAAACTTCGACTTCATCGCTGGTTGTTGTTGCCCTGAACGATGAATGTCCTTCCTTGTGGTACGGTACGTAGTTTATTTCTGGTCTGGTCTGGTCTGGTCGGGTCTGCGTTGTGATCGCCCCAAAAATCGTGAGTTCGCTCTGCTGTTTAACAAGATTTTGGGCGTTGTTCAATTTTTAGGCTGACTTCGCATGCGAAAAATGCAGCAGCCGCTTTTTGATAGCTGAGCAACAACTT